TACATAGATAAATAAGCCAACAACAATATATGAGCCTAAGGCACAATGGCAGAGTAATGAACAATACATATTTGTCTATAATTACAGTATTGCCCACATGGGAATTTAGGACTGAGGGGGGCAGTGAGGAAGCTAATAACACATAGGAGGATCACTTCCAGTGTAGTCTTATGGTTTCAACAAACACTGACAGTCTGATTACAACACAGGTCTTAAACTCAACAAAGTGTTTCTAAACATAATATATTTTGGACGACTGACAGACTCAAGTATTCTTGTTTCTAATTTCCATAGCAAGTGATAGCATGTACAGTGGGCTGATAGTATTTCAAAATTCTATTAGTCTTTTGGCATTCCCCACGCAGGCTAATGAGACCTTCAATCATCTAAATCCTCCCCTTAAAGAGTCGGAGTGACAGAAAAGAAAGGTTTGTTTTATTAGAACATATTTCACAATAAGACTCAGTATACACTATATGTATTATGCCAAGTCACAATGCTGTTTTTACACAGGCTATTGATTCTGGATTTTTATTACACAGATTTGTGACATTCACCTGCTTTCCACTGAGCTGATAGAATGAGAGCTTCTGACCCCAGTCTGCCACGGCCAGAATGTCATTGTGCTCATCCCTGGGAAGACGCAATAAAAAGACTTTAGGTGCAAGTACTCCGATCAACATACTGCACTACAGTACACAGTGTCAATACAAGCTAATGGTCAAGCCCTTTCTTCTGTCTAAAATGGAAAGCAACACAAACATTTACTATGCTTTTATCCTTAACTATTTTAATGGCATCTCTTATAGAATTTTATATTTTTCTTTATTATTGTTTTATGTATACTGTATCCATCTAAGCCCTTGTGATGACAATTCACCCATCTGAGAAGAATTCTTCCTGTTGAAGCTCCCATTATCAAGACACTGAATCCAAAGCTGTTCAAGAGACACGGTTCCCTGGTTGACCTCAAGATGTCGAATCATATTCCATGAAGCAACCCAACAATAATATACATGCAACCTATTGAGGGTGTAATCTGCCTCTCATCCACCATCAGCTGGGATTGGGTCCAGTCTCCCATGACCCTCTACAGGAAAAGCATGTTAGCTAATGGACAGATCAATCAAGGATCAAAGAATCAAAGATTTTTTATTGTCAATTCACTATATGTGCAGGACATACAGAACATCGAAATACTGGTTCTCTCTCACCTAGTATTGAATGCCATACCATTTAAGAAACTAAAATAGAATAAAAGTAAAGTAGAATAAAATACAATAAGAAAACTAATTTAAAGTAATTAGGATAAAACTAAACTGTAGATGGATGGATGAATGAATGAATCTTGTCACTGTCTCTTATTTCTGCCATCTTTATCTGTCACCTTACAATTTTTCATCACCCTGTCTGACCTTCTTTTCTCAAAAAACCAATTCAGTAGTAGTGTCTATAACTTTGGCCAGGGCTTTAGCCATGGAGAGCATCAAAGAACAGTATCATAATGCTTTCCTTCACAGCTGACCACTGCCACCTGCTGGCCCTACACAAACTATTCAGTTAAAATGCAATTAACTCTCATTTGCACAATATTACTTTAAAGCTTGTCCCATAGATGAACACTGGAAAATGTGGGCAGCAGGGTGAGGCACTGCATTTAATAAACTGGTGAAGATAAAACTTTGGTCTATTTCTATGCTTCCGTGTCAGCAACAGCTGTGGCCACGGGTATTATAGTTCAGCTTGTCTGTCTGTACCTATATCCCATTTATGTGAACATGATTTCAATGCCTTGATGGAATTTCTTTAAATATGACAAGCATCCACACTTGGACAGAAGAATGAACTGATTAGTTTTGGTGGTCACAGGTTAAGGTCACAGTGACCAAATGTCTGTCCCATTCTTGTGTTCCCATCTCAGGAACACCTTGAGCATATTTATTCAAATTTGGTACAAACACCCACTTGGATTCAAGGACAATATGACAAAGCTCATAATAATTTCTCTGTACTCCTCCTCCTCTGTACTCCTCTGCAAAAACTGAGTCTGAGTGAAGACAGCAGGTTTCTTACTGGAAATTATTAAATTCCTTTAAAGTCTTCACTACATTTATTAGTCTGGACAGACATGCATGTATATTGCAACTTAGCTAGTTGGCAAGGGTATAAAACTGCAAGGTGGTAATTCTAATTTTTACTAACTTAGAGGGGTTCCAGGCTATGGACCAGATAGGAGAGGAGGTCCCTCCTGGACGCTCTATCTTGACCTTCTCCTCTCCATTCTTGTTCCGTATACTTACTACTCCATTCATCATTCCAAGGGCAAGGTATTGGCCATCATTTGTCCACCTGCAATCAATTGAAACCCTTCAACATAAATGAGTCCCATCGAAATGCACCATTGTTGCAGGTAGTTACAGATAAAGACTACACTTACCCACAACATGTTATTTTGCTGCTCACTTTATGTTTGTTCACAGATTTTTGCTCCGGTGACCACAGACCTAAAAAATGAAAAAGATGCTTGATGTCCAGTGCTCAAGGGCTTTCTTTCTTCACTGAATATTATGTACAAAGTTTTGAAGATCTGTACAGAATTTAATTCACAATGCACTCACCAAAGTCAATAGAAGAGCAGGAGGCAAGTTGGTGAGTGACAGGGTTGTAGGCAACACACTGGATAGAGTCACTGTGCCTACAGAGAAACACATGAAAAAGGTGTTAGAACAATACACACTACAGAGGAAGCATTAATACAAAAGTGATGAGCAAAAGTGACACTTACACATATTTTAAAATGCCCTCCAATTTAGATGTCCAGATAATGATGCTTTTGTCTGCTGACCCTGAGGCAAACCTTTTACCTGCAGAAGAATGCAGCATTTAAGTGATATATTAATGATGTCTGATACAAGAAAACGTAGCTGGGAGGGCAGTGGCTATGGCTCAGAAGGTAGAGAGGGGTTGGTTCGAAAACCGACTTCTCCAGTCCATATGTCAAAGTGTCCTTGGGTGAGACACTGAACCCCAAGTTGCTCCTGGTAACCATTGCCATCAATGTGTAAGTGTGTGTGAATGACTGTACAGCAGCTTTGCAGCCACTGGTATAAGTGTGTGTGAATAGGGTGAATACTGTAAAGCGCTTTGAGTGTGCCTGAGTGTGTAGAAAAATGCCTCATAAGTACAAGTCCAAAAAAATGGAAGGCATGTTGAATACCATACCATCTTTGGCATAGGCCACACAGTACACCACATCTTTGTGTCCTTTTAAAAGCTGGATAATAGCTCCATCTATTGTGTCATAAACCTGCAACACAAATACAATAACAATAATAAAAATAATGCATATATTGTTTAGATGCAGTATGTAACTTCCTTGGCCAAAAAAACAGGAAAATCTTACCAGGACATGATGCCCTGCAGCAATGATGAGCTGGCTGCCATCTGGCTTGAAGGCAATGTCATAAACACTGCAAAAGAGGATAATGGATTTGTGATTAAATGTTTTCGATCAATTGATTAGTTGATCTGTAACAAATTTTATGGTCTACATTATTATTGAAGTATTAAAGAAACATACCAATCATATTCATGTGTGCCAACTTTTAAAATGTGAAAATGTTCTGCTTTTCTCTGTTTCTTAAAACTTAATTTAAAAAACTGCAAATAACTGCAAGATGCTGAGCTATGCAAAGATATGAGCACGTCGGTTTACTGCAGAGAGTTTATCTACTTCCTTTCCCTTCAAAATATACATTTTGCCTAATGATAACCAAACATTTTGATAAACTTGTAGAGCAACTGAATAATAATTGACAGATTAATAAAATGTGCAAATGAGCGTGAACGTTCAACCAGTAGTACTGTTAAAAAGAGCTAGCTAGCTTAAAATTGTTTGCTCCGACCTAATATTAGACCGTATTACAAAAGACAGTAGCCTACTGACAGGAAACATATTTTGTATGAAACCTTACATATAAGACATATAAACCGGCTACAGCATCACAGTCATTTGTCAACGATAATCTAACTACTGTGGTGCTAACACTAGCTAGCTGGCTAACGCTAGTTTGCATAGCAACCGCCGTTGCTAACCACCTGGTGTTGCATCCCAGCACCAGACCTAGAATCACAGCCTGCACATAAACATCTAGATTCTCACCAGTGATCACCAGTTGATTCTTTCCACGCTTGAACGGCTCTCATTTCCACCTTTAAACAGCAAAAGAACTAATTTGGGCTTTTTAATCAACAGGTTGTTCTTGTTGCTTGTTCGGTCGACTTTTCATACTAAGCTCCGTTTTCATGATTTTGCTTGCACTGCGCAGACTCAAATCCAGTGTTGCCAGATTTCACTGACAAAAACTATTTCACCCCTCAGCCTAGAACCCGCCTTCATTCCTTAACATCTTGAAAAATTTATTACGCCGAATTCGCTATTAACGGCTCTCGTTTGCTATGTACCACTGTATATACTGAGAAGTATGAATAAATTGCTTTCTCACTGTATGAAACTTAAAAAGTTGTTTATTCTTAAGCAAGGTCTGTAGTTATTAGGAGCATAGGTGACTTTTTAATCGAGCTTACAGACGTTTATTTGCGATGGACATTGGAGGCAACTATGTAAGTACCACTGAATCTAAAATATATATGAAGCCTGCCTTTAACGCCTACGTGGGCTGTGTGCATTCGTGCCGCACTGCAGCTGCAACAGTTGACAAACTTCCCGTTTTTAGAGCATTTGCATGGACATTTTTACCTTATCTTTTCCTTTCATCTTTTCTTCTACGCCTCTCGTACAGTTTGAAAACCTGTGAAATGTAACCTAACATTTTATAGGTGGAAACTTACCCTTAAGGTACAAAATGTAGCCCAAATTATAATGACTGGTCCAATTAAAGAAAAACTAGCCCGGTTTGGTGGATAACTGACGAATCTGGCAACACTGATCGCTACTTCCTGCGCTGCTGTGTTTACAAAAACTGGACTTCTACGCCAATGCTGACAAGAAGTCATCTGTAAGCCAGAGTAAATATACTAGTCCCTACATTTCTCCGACACACTTGTAAGGGAGGAAGGAAGGAAAACGAGGTGAGCAGTAACAGTATGTCTGTCCACATCTGCTGTTGTGTGGCTTTGTGTGATGTAATGTACAATAGTGACGTTACTCAGCCTTCCGAAGAAACACTGTGTGCTCTAGCCATGACTGTGCTTCAGCTGTTTGGTACACACTTGTTTATAATGAGTGAAACACTAAATACATTGATAAATCAGCCACCGTAGCCAGGCCGCTCATAGTGTATGTATGTTGTTGAAGCTCTGCCTTTTGAAAGCAATAAGAAATGCATGTAAAGTGTCACCTCCTCTCCCCCTTCTGTTGTATCTACAGTGTATCCCTGAACTCAGACTCTGTCTTATAACTGGATCAACACAGTGACTGTTATGAATCACAAGAGATGAAAGAAATAATATTGCGAGGCAACACAAAAGTTATTGCAAGAGAAAGCACAAGGATTTAACAAGTTGTAAGTTTCCAGTAAAGATGACACCAGCTAGGAATGGCTGATGTGGGAGAAAAGGGTCAGCAGCTAGACAGTGAGCTGAAGACAGTCCCCACCTCAGAATTCACTGCTCTTTCAACTGGGATCAGAGACAACAGCACACCTTTCAAAGTCCATTCTGCCTGCAGTGACATTCAACTGAAGACCAGTGGAAACATACATGACCAAAGTCACGAGGATGAGGATGATGATGATCTGTGCCACACTTCCTCAATGCCCCCTGGCTGGATCAGAGAAGTGAGGCAGAGGAAAGTAGGCAAGACAGCAGGCAAACTGGATGTCTACATTATAAGGTGACCATATTTTTTTGTAATTCTCTCCGTATCATGTATCATGACTGTTACTGTGCAAAGGTTTTAGGCACTTAGTGTAATTGTAAAAACATGCAGTGAAGGGAGGAAGCTTTCATAAATAATGCCATGAATAGTTAGTATTGCAGATGCAGTTAGTTCGGTGTCTAATTGATCTTTCTGTTAAGTCCCGAAGGGCAGAAGTTCCGATCAAGAGCATCCCTCCACGCTTTCCTCCTAAAAAATGGAGAAAAGAGCTTAGATATAAGTGTCTTTGATTTCTCTGTGTCAAAGAACAAGGTCATCACTGCTTTGCAATTACTCCCCTCCCAAGTGAAGCAGAAGAGAGCAAAGAATAAACATGCAGACAGACAACAGCACACAGCACAAAATGCAAGAGAAATTGTGGCTTCATCTGCAGATAAATCTAACAGAGCTCTTTCATCGAGCAGAAGAACTAAAGAAGGAATAAAGAGATCAGCTGAAACAAATCATATTAATACTGACACTGCACTAGATGAGATCACACATGTGCAAGAAGTATGTAGAGACAAAACTGAAGAGAGAGTGAAGTGTTACGTACAAGATAAACCTTCAGCAGCAGTGGATGATGCCAAGCTACAGAAGAGTCCGCAGAGAGCTGGACTGCTGAGAGAGAAGCTGCTCAGACTAGCCTCTACTAGCGAACAACACAACACTTTAATTGTTCACAAGAACAAGCAGGCAGGATCGCAGCCTTCTCTCCCAACTCTGAATGCTGAACCTGCCACTGTCAGCGAGAGTGAAGGTGAGGAGCAACAAGGTGTAGCCCAGATGCTGAGTCACAGCAAATGTGACAACAAGGCTAATCCTGACCCGGAGACTGATGCTGACAGTCATCAGGATGTGGCAGAGGAGGTGTTGTTACTTGACATCACTGGTGGGAGCTGTACACCAGTGAGAAATTCCCAGAATAGTAAGTATGATCTGCGTTGTCTGACAGCTTGTAATGGCAACACTTCAACTTATTTTTCCCATTTATTTTTATACAGTGCACCACACTCAATACAGTTTCACATTTAACATGTTTGTCTTTCATTTAGTTTCTGGCTGCCATAACATTTTTTATAACTATAAGTACATTAAAGTGACACATTAAAATAGTGGCACAAAGAACTCTCCAAAAAGGAAAAAGTATGCACGTCGGTGTATAAATAAAGGGCTGTTATACTCTTTATAAATGTGATCTTTTGGAGCCTTAGTGCATATATGATGTGCTTCATCTCCCAGGGCTCACAAAACCCTCAACGTACTACATCTGATGGTGTCCACTAGTAGGATTTGAAATAGATTTCAACCTCCCATTTCTCATTAATTTGTTGGTGGCGCTTAGGTTCATGGATACATGTACTGTATCATTTTTACTTTGCAGTTCTGTAAACAATACTTCTGTTATAGTGAGGTTTTTAAAACATTTTCCAATAAATGTTTCCTGTCTGCCTAGAGTCAAAAAGCTTGGAAGACAAACGGAAAACGAGCCCTTATTTCAGTGGGAAACCCTTTAGGGATGGTAATGTTCAAATTATTTATTTGAGAAAAGAAGCATCAGCATTTATGAAATAAAATCATGTGTGTGGTTTTGGTTACATGTACACTGTCCATACACAGGCCTTAGCCCTCCCAGGAGGAAGGCTTTCAGGAAGTGGACACCCCCTCGTTCTCCATTCAACCTTGTACAGGAAACCCTTTTCCATGACCCCTGGAAACTCCTGGTGGCCACCATTTTTCTGAACAAGACCAGTGGTAAGATACAACATGCGCACATTGCAGCACTTACTTTACTGTGTGAAACCAGTACTCAAGCCTGACATTTTTACCTCTAATACTCCAGGTAAGATGGCCATTCCAGTACTGTGGCAGTTCTTTGAGCGTTACCCATCTGCAGAAGTGACCCGGGAGGCCGATTGGAAGCCCATGTCTGAACTTTTGAAGCCACTTGGCCTGTATGAGCTCAGAGCCAAAATACTCATCCGCTTCTCAGGTGAAAGTGCTTGTCCAGTGTACATGATGGATGTGGAAATGCTGCACCATTAATGTACTCTATGTTGGTTTTACTCAGCATAAGCAGCAGTAGCCAGAGGAACCTCACAATCCCTTTTCTCATATGTAGATGAGTATCTGACTAAACAGTGGCGTTACCCTATTGAGCTACACGGTATTGGGAAGTATGGCAACGACTCTTATAGGATCTTCTGTGTGGGAGAATGGAGAGAGGCGAGTATAATTCCAACTGCTCTACTTTCATTGGATTACATTAACATTCATAAATGCTAAATGTGATATTTTCATGATGTCTTTATGTCAAAGGTGACACCTGAAGACCACAAGTTAAACAAATATCATGCCTGGCTGTGGGAGAACCATGAAACCCTTGGAATCTGAAATACAAGATTGGAGGAACTGCAAGGAAGATTTATTGTGGCACATACAAGAAAATCAGTTCCATAACATATACATTGCATTTATCAACTATATTACAATTATGCAGTGATACTGTGGAGATATTCGTGTTAGCCTTTCTTAAAATCTTTTTTACTCCATGTTTAATAAAATATTTTAAGTGGTTTGAGAGTTGAAATGATTATTGACTGCATTATTCAGTTAATTCCTTTACGTGTAGGTCGGATCAGGGGACATCTTCTCTGACTGTATCTGTTTAGTCGACTGACAGGCTAATCTTTCTTTTTGAGTGCACCCATGTGTGGCCTTACACTCCACACTTTCTTTTTGGTGGGGGTGACCTGATTCCCAAGGCAACTGTTGCCACCGCAAAACACTCGGTGAATGCACAGGCAAGTCACAGTTAATTTCTAACCAGCACAGTACAATTTATTATTTACATTTGGAGTTGTTATGGTTTTAATGCCAATTAAGAATAGACATTTTAAGAAGATAAACTGCTGCTTTTGACACTTCAGAAAGTTTAATTCTGCACAAAGACTGGACTTCTCTGGTGGCCAACAGAAGAAACAGCTTGAAGTACAAAATGAAACTACGTAAGAAAACAGCTTTGTTTTTTTCCATTTGTCTTATAGTGTCCCAGTAAACATGTTATACATGCTGTTATTCTGCTTATTTCAATCTTCATTACCACAGCGGCCATCTCTATAGCTTCCACACCAGTGTGTATTCCTCACAACACACCTCCTGCCCGGCAGAGTAGAGGCCTGGTAGTCACTCCCATGACATTTCCCGTCATCTCAGACTCTGCCCGACTGTGCACTAGCAATCAGGTGAGCAGAGATTAACACCTCATACATTGCTTGACCATTTTCCTGTCTCAAAGGAAGACGGTGTTTACTATGAAGTAAGAGGGGAAAAAGAAAAACTTCCACAAATCTGCTCCCTAGAGTATTCCGAGACTGAACCCGTTACATCCACCTTTGGTCCATAAACGCACTGTCAGTCTGGAGACGCCAGCTGTTCACCACCACAATCACCAGAGGACACTAATCATGCAACGAAGAGAGCATTACAGGTATGCATGATGCAATCGCCATCTTTGCCTTGAAGAGCTGAGTTCTAAGTCACTGACTTGTAGTTGATATGTCAGGTATCATCAAGTGTGGCGAAAACCCTTTTATGGAACCAGCAGTGAGAGCGAAGAGTACAGGTAAAAAATAAACTCTTTCACTATACTGATGAGTCTTTCTCCCCGAAATGGCGAGTGCATACCTTACTGCTCAGACACAGTGACAAAAGCCTTCCTCTGTAGGAAGGAGTTGCGAGAGCAGCTACAGAGACAGATAGAGGAGAAATATGCAGCACTGAAGCTGCAGCTGGCCAGTAAAGTGAAGGAAGCAGAATATGTCCGTGAAGTGGACCGTCTCGCCCTGTCCACTGAAAGAGAGCAAAGGATCCAACACAGCAAAGCAATGACAGCGTACAGAGATGAGAACAAGAGGGTACAGTCCCACACATGCATTATGTATCCACTGCTAATGCTTTTGTGTTCAGACCTCTTAGAGTAGGGTCCTGAAAATGCTTCGACATGCTGGCTGCTATCACGTTACAACAGTATGGGGAGCGTTTGAGGTTTTTCTCTTGTCTCCATCTCTGTTGTATGTGTGCAGCTAATGGAGGAGAGCTGGAGGGACAGTGCACTAACGCGCTCCCTGGAGGTCCTGAAGGAGAGAGAGCTGCTACGCCTTAACCCCATTAACTGGAGTGGAACCTTGAAATAGGCTGAACCTAAACATTCAGAGTCAAATGTCTCATTGTAGCACGAGTCTCTGTAGCATGAGTGTCAGATCAGATGCAAATGAGAGCATACAAATGCCACATACTGTACTGTATGTAGTACATGTACAGTGGGTACGGAAAGTATTCAGAGCCCCTTAAATTTTTCACCCTTTGTTATATTGCAGCCATATGCTAAAGTCATTTAAGTTCATTTTTTTCCTCAATGTACACACAGCACCCTATATTGACAGAAAAACACAGAATGTTTGACATTTTTGCAGATTTATTAAAAAAGAAAAACTGAAATATCACATGGTCATAAGTATTCAGACCCTTTGCTCAGTATTTAGTAGAAGCACCCTTTTGAGCTAATACAGCCATGAGTCTTTTTGGGAATGATGCAACAAGTTTTTCACACCTGCATTTGGGGATCCTCTGCCATTCCTCCTTGCAGATCCTCGCCAGTTCTGTCAGGTTGGATGGTAAACGTGGGTGGACAGCCATTTTCAGGTCTCTCCAGAGATGCTAAATTGGGTTTAAGTCAGGGCTCTGGCGGGGCCATTCAAGAACAGTCACGGAGTTGTTGTGAAACACTCCCATAGCATGATGCTGCCACCACCATGCTTCACTGTTGGGACTGTATTGGACAGGTGATGAGCAGTGCCTGGTTTTCTCCACACATACCGCTTAGAATTAAGGCCAAAAAGTTCTATCTTGGTCTCATCAGACCAGAGAATCTTATTTCTCACCAGCTTGGAGTCCTTCAGGTGTTTTTTAGCAAACTCCATGCGGGCTTTCATGTGTCTTGCACTGAGGACAGGCTTCCGTCGGGACCCTCTGCCATAAAGCCCTGACTGGTGGAGGGCTGCAGTGATGGTTGACTTTCTACAACTTTCTCCCATCTCCCGACTGCATCTCTGGAGCTCAGCCACAGTCATCTTTGGGTTCTTCTGTAACCCTCTCACCAAGGCTCTTCTCTCCCGATAGCTCAGTTTGGCCGGAAGGCCAGCTCTAGGAAGGGTTCTGGTC